TGTATGCACTATCTAAAGGTTATCTTATTGTGAACGCATGGTAACTGAGGATTAGAAATTTATAAATTTATTAAAAAAAAGACATAATGGTAACTGCAAATAAGACTTAAAATGATCTTTTTATTTGTAAACAATTTATAATGAGAAAGATTTAGATTCCCTGACATTTGGCAGATAATAGCTTCCCGATGTGAATATACATTTCGTGAGACAAAACTACTATACATGGGAGTAACAAAATGACAGGCTAATGAAAGAAACATATAAAACTATATATATATGAAACTATATATATTGTAAGTGTTTGTTTTCAATATTTTAACTATTAACTGCATTGTAAATACATTTATTTTAAAAGCGGTGGAAGTCTTCGATATACGTCAAGCACTGCCTTAACCTCAGCTAACAACATCAATTGCATATTATAAGCAGGATACGTATGCATTGAATGAAGGCTTCTACAGTGGTTCGGAAGAAGCAGTATTTTAAACTACTTACAGAAAATGAAAGCCCAAAAGCGCATTATAGCTTACAGTGATATATGCATAGAACAAAAAAGAACCATAAAGCCAATCTTAATACGAATGGAAGTTCTTCGGTCCAACGACTATGAAATAAATATTGCCGATCACAAATTTATACTGTCGGTACACATTCGCTCTTAGCAAACGATAGCAATTTTCGAGTGGTAGGAATGAAAATTCCAAATACCAATTACTTCCATATCTCCTATGATTCTTATAGTATTCTCATCAAGTACGTAAATAGTTACATAAAATTGATTCAAATTTTTTTCAGATATAAAAAAAACTTTTATTTGTTTGTTGCTATTGGATAATAAACTTATGTTATCTAATACCAAAAAATGTAAAAAGTATGTCCATATGTACTTAGCAATGTTTTTCAATTTATTGAAATGCAAAACACGGGCTTGCTTCACATTTAAAATAAAAGGCTCATGTGCACTTTCACGCCCTGGTTATGTTAAGTGAAATCTCAAAATTGTCTATGAGTTTATTAATATTTAATCTTTTCAATCTTTAACGTTTCTCATCCCTTTTGGATTAAAATCCAAAGTCTACCACATGAACGTCTACAGAATCGCGCATAACGCGTTTACACTTCAATATTGTAATTATGTAATTTCACTGTGGCACTCTTCTCACTTTGCATTATAGTTGCCTTTCGATCAGCACTGATTTATGAGGTTGACCGATGATTTCGTGTTGTTTGTATAATTTCAAGGAACTAATCCATGTGCCTTTACAAATTAAGCCTGCTGAGCGCTCCCGATAAGTGCTAATTTTACTGCTGATTTTATATTGTGCAATGCTTTCATACGCATCATGCCATGAAGCGTTGCTGTCGCACAATTTAAAGAATACGAGCTTAGATACCAAGTATATGCTTTAGTCTTGAAATACATTTAATTACTTTAAAAATTTTTGACAACAAAGGATTTACTATATGAATATTATTATTTTTTTTTTTTTTTTTTGCTTAATAATATAAATGTTATAAATTTCAGTATATTTAAGATGAAAATAAATTTCTCTACTCCTCTATTTGTCTGTTCTTCTTTATCAATTTCTCCTACGATGCAATCAATATTCTTAGTTTATGTGTATTGTATTTATTGATGATAAAATTTTTCAACACTTTGCTGGCTTTCTTACCTATCGCTGGTATATCACCTTAGCTTTCTATTTTTATTCTTTCTTAATAATTCTTTTTTTTTTTTGTTTTTGTTTTCTATCAAATCCTTTGAATATGGGATTATGTCAATCAAAAGCGCTTAAAAGTTTTGAAAAGGAATGAATTTTTCATCTTTGTCACAGTTGCTATTGCTATTGTCAATTATTGTATATGTCGTGCCATACTTTCGCATAGTACGTGATTTTTTACCATCATCGTCTTCTGCAGCCTCTGAGAAATTGAATGACGTATCGTACAGTTTTTCAGTAATAGCTCGAATGCTTGGCAAACGAAAATTGCTGAGCATTTCTAGCAACGGATGTATGTACGTATGCATGGTTTATTTAAATAGGGTTCTTCCATGTTAAGCTTTATCCTTATAAGAATATCACGCGCTTGCCATCGTGTTGGTGTTTGTTAATGTGAAACTCTCAAGTTAAACTTAAGTGAAATAAGAAATAAAACTTTCAGGCTTTTTCCGCATTTCATCGGAACATGCCTCTCTCTCTCCGCGCCGACACCTTCTTTGTTAAATGATAAAAGTTTTACTTTAATTTTAATTAGCATACATTTGGGCGTTACAGTTTTTCACGATAGCGTTGCCATTTCCTACAGCAATGACAGTAATTTGGAGAGATTTTCGTCTTTATAAACATTTCAGCAAAAGTTCTATTGCTTGAGATTTATGTTTTTTTTTTTTGTTTTTTTTTTTTGCTTTTCGTTTGCCATAGTTTTCGGCCTATACGTCCTTTTGGTGAAGTTGTGTTGAAAATTTTCAAGAAAATTTTTCCTTAATTTTTCTTTGTCACACGACAGTGAACTTGTTGTTGTCTCCTTTTTTCTTGCTTTGTGTGTTGCAAGTTTGTTTGGGTACGCGTCGAAAAATGTGAGAAAAACTAATTTAAACTTTGCATTAATCAAAACAGAAGCAACCATCACGAGATAGTGTTAAGAAGTTTAGCGTTATTCTTAACGAACAGTTCAAAATATTTTTCCCTTCATCTCAGTATGTCTCTCACTCTATTTAGTGTAACGTACATACATACATACATACAAAACGTTTTAACAGCTTATTTGATGAGCTTACCACAAACTGCAACTGGCAAGTACCCCGACCAGCAAATATTCATCACCCGAAAAAAGCTTGAAGCAACAAAAAAGGAAAAGTCTCTTTACATTCAACGGCTTAAAGGGCCGAATTAAAATATACAAAAATTTGCTACTGTAACTGACTATCGTCACGTCATTAGTGCAGTCACTTTTGTACACACTTTCATTTCTAATTTTGCTTTTTATATACATATTTTTTTCTATCTATCTGGCGTTGTATTTTAATGAATGCTTTTCGTCAACTTTTAGTGTTTGCAAATGCCAGTTGAATAAGTTACTCCATCATCACTTTTTCTTTTTTTTTTTTTTTTTTTTGAATTTTTCAGATGATTTTAATTAAAAATTAGCTTAAGTCTTTATGCATGGCTAACTTGCATTATATTAATATTTATTATTTATTATAAGATAAATTTTTCATAGAAAAAGAAAAAAGGACTAAGTGTTAATATATGCATATATAGGGCAAAATTAAGTGTTTATTATATTAAGTGAGAAAGAACTTAGCATAGTAGCAACAAAAGTCGACTATCTTTCACCCAACTTTATCAAAGATATTTCGAACAACAACAAAAAGAAGACTACTTAAGACTAAAAATAATATTAAAATACATTCTTTATCTTAATGTTCGTACATGTCTGACCATGTGATAATAATTACATCAAAGAAACTAGAGTCGAAACTCTAATAATCATCATGATTACAGATATTACAAAAAAAAAAAGAAAATAGCAAAAAATAATATTCACTTTAAAGAGTCAAAATTCATTGCATAAACATATACAACAAAAATAATGTTAAGCAAAAAAGAAGTGATAATAGAACGCGAATAATAGACGAATTTCGGGTACCTATGATTGCATTGAAAATTATTGAAGAAAAAACGCAATTAGTGACGTCATATTTATCTAGGAGCTAAATTCTGATATCTATCACTTCAAAAGTCCTAAATAATTTTTGTTAGTTGCATTAACTGCCTGCATGTGCTAAGCGAGACTGTGCTTGCATTGAAACTACATTCAATGATAAGCTGATATCTGCTATTTCGATAATGCCCATTTTTGAATTATTAATTTCGCGGGGATTACATCTCTTTTGAACTTGATTAACAAAAAATGTAAAGTTTACGTCCCTGATTAAATGAACTCGGAATCTTATTCAAGAGTTAGTAAACCTTATGCAATCTCTGCTTAGAATGCCCAAGAATATATATATGCTTAATAGGATCTCTAATATTATGAGTTAAGGTTCGACAGATTTGATATGACGCTACCGCTCACTGATGAATGGGCGAAGGTTAGTACACTTTATAGCATCTGAAGATCACAATCAAATACCCCATATGAAAGATGTAATATGTGCTTCGCTTCTTCGTGCAGCGGAAACTAATATCTAACCTCAATGGTTGGCGCATATATCTCAGACGACACTTAATCAATTTACAACAAAAAGTTCGAAAGGCTTATTGAAGATCTCTTTATTAGAAGAAGGATTCTTCATTATTTAATCGGATCATAAACAGACGGAGATATCAATCCTAGCAGCTATCAAGCGAGAACAAATGCTCTGGGCTAACACGCTTGCATTATATTCTCCGATTTTTCTCTACTCACATTTTTGTCTCTACTGCATATTTTCGGGGCATTAGCACACATTGCAAATGGAGTTTGATTTGATTTGTTCTTTATTAGATTTTCTATGCAAATGTCTATGTTTTACCAACGGAATGATGAAATTAGTACATCTTCTCTCAATGGCTATAAATATACGAATGGATTAGCATTAGAAATATGCAGAATTAGATATATATAAAAATTTTTTAAGCCGCTTTAGGCTTTCAAGCACATGGCAGGTGTCAAATTTCCTTATAAATACTAAATATACTAATATAAGGGATTATGTGCATTACTAACGGCATATTTTTTTACCTATCAATCTCTAAGGCATGTTTGAGAAACATTTGCTCTCATTTAGTTAAATATATTTTAAGAGTTGAAGGACAGTTTGACTCTTGCAAATGTCAAGATATTTTCAAGATTTTTTCGTTGAACGCGATATTAATTAAATTTCGATTCGATTGTAAATGATAATTGGGAAGAGATGATCAGAGCAGAGAGATGTTTGTAGGCATTCATAAGCTTGACATCAAGCACACTTTTCTTATTTTTATTTTTTTCTTTTCTTCTCTTTTACTTACACTATAATTGGCGTATCCTCTTGTTTCGACATGTTATCGTGCAAAACTAGAAATTATACAAAATTCACAGGCTTTTACAATCGAGAAAAATCGTGTGTCTTTTTTGCCTTAAATTACTTAAATAATTTGTAATAATCTTGCACTTTTTTAAAACACTTTTTTTTCATATATATATAGAAAATAAACGTATTTTTACTTTTTTCTCACAAAAATATTTCAATATTTTGCATTATTATTATTATTATTTCATTTTTGTTTTTACTTATCGTCGGACAAGAAAGCAGAGTAAATGTCTTTTTATATCAGAGGCAAGAAAAAGCAAGTGTTGAAAACACGTTTTTATCTATTTAACTTAAATTTATGATTTTATTTCTTCGTTTTTTTTTTTTTTTTTTTTTTCTTAATGTAATTTGAAAATTTTTATTTATATATGATTTTAACACGACACCAAAGTCGTAAGCGAAAACAACGCTAATCACTTGAGATTTATACAGTATAGTAATATATAGAGTGTGATGAGCTTCCCGCAATATTTTAAAGAGAAATGAAGACAGACGCGTATAATGAACTTCATATACGATATAGAAAACATATGCTTAAGCATTTCAAGAACTAGTGGAAAGAAGAGCAAGCAATACATATGATAAGAAAGTTAAATAAAGTAACGAATAATGCAGATACAAGCATAGAAGGATCATTTTGTACAAGTCAAGGCGCGAAGACAATAAAACTTTACTTATATAAAATTTACTATAGCATTAGTTATGTCAATGATATCGGGCAAAATAATGTTACTTTTCTCCTTCTTACATAAATTCCAAGTTTTTGAAAAGATTTTAAAGCAACTTTAACTACTTTAATTAAATAATTTCATGACCTTCGCATTATTTCCACTGTACTATGTGAATTCACATTGGACAGAAATCATCGGTGTAGTGTAAATCGACAGTTACTGCACATTATCGAAGTTAGACTTCACACGCACTCGCCTTTATCGTAAAACAACAAACTTTCTTATCTTTCTCTGAGATGGTTGTTTCTGCTTTCGTTTCTGTGACTAATAAAGATGATGAGGCTGCTGAAGACCAAATAACAAGAATATACAATATATTCATTAACGCTATTGCGAGAATATATTTACTTCGTCGTAAACATTTAAAAAACATTAAAACCATAAATTGAAAATTTCATAACTTTTACATATATTTGTCATTAGCTTACCACTATCCCTCTGTACGAATAATATGTGTTTTAGAAGTTTAGATAGATTCACATAAACCTTGACCTTGCATGAGAGCCCTGACAATAATTAAATAACTTAAATAATTAGTAAAAGAAGCAAAAAAGTAAGTTAATTAAAGAATTTGCCTAAAAATGATTCCGACCAACCTTTCTTACACGCCTATGTTATATATACGTAATGATAAAATTTCTACATTTCGTAATATTCGTGCTTCCACGTTACTACTAAAATAAATACAATAAAATATTCACAACTCTCGCTAAGTTTAATCTATTTTGTAATTTTACAGTACAAACTCTAAATAAATATTTGACTTACTTGATACGTACAAGAAAAAATGTAAAATTTAGAAAGTAGTAAAATAAACAAGCAAAAACATTATAGTTATCCATGGCCCACCATTAGACAACCAACACTGTCCCACTACTACGAAATTCAGAATTCGTTTTCGATGCTTCCCCTAAAACATCTTATGTCGCTTCATTGAAGCGAAATATTAATTGTTGATCCTATTGTTCCAGGAGACTTGTGTGTATGTTATTTGTTTAGTTGAACTAAACAAATAACAGTCGAGTTCAATAGGCTCTTAATGCAAAACTAATATTAATTAACAATAAAATTGAGTATAAGCATAATAAAACAAATAAGAAGAAAAAAAAAAGAAAAAGAAAAAAGAAAAAAAAGCATGTACACTATCAGCATAGGAGCACACTTACAACCGGTACAGAACCAAATTGCAAATGAACCCCTAAGCCATCGCAAACATGCGTAAGCCTGGCAACCGATAATAAATTGACAATAATTCACTTTCGAAACGTAACGACTTTTTAAGCGAAACGTAACGCGTATTAAGCAATGTTGCTTTAATGGACTTTAAAGAGTCCGATAACGAGAATAAGTGGTAGACGTCATTTAAGTTCTTGCAAACGACTCTGAGCGGATTGAACAGCTCATAATTAAATTTACACTGATTAAGCTTAACCAAGATAAAGTGCCTAGAGAAGCGGTTAGGGACATTAAAGCTTATTTCACCAAGTAATGAAGGCGAGTCAATAGCACCATTTATTACTTTAATTAGAAAGGAAACGCCAACAACAAATCTACGTTTCTCAAGACACGTTAGGGACAGCAGAAGCAACCTATTTTCATACGGAGGAAGAGAGGCAATCGGATCCCAACCCAAATTTCTAAGGGCAAACAGCAAGAATTGCTTTTGTATAAATTCAATTGAATCTACGTAGCACCTATATGAAGGAGACCACACAACTGAGGCATACTCGAGTATGAGTCTACCCAAACACATGTACAGCCTTTTCGTAATGTAGGGATCATCAAGCTCTTTGGACCACCTTCTTATAAAACCAAGCGCTGACCTAGCTTTGCTAATCGAGACCTCAATATGCAAGTTAAAACGTAACCTATGGTCAAATAGAACGCCTAAATATGTAATCGAATCGACGTCCTCCAACTTATGCGAATCTATGAAATACTGAGTAATATATGACTTTCTTCTTGAGAATGAAAGCTTCTTACATTTACTCAGATGTAATTTCAGGAGATTCAAAGAGCACCATGCAACAAAATTATCCAAATCACCTTGAAGCTGATGTGATTGCGATTCAACAGAGAAGGAAGAAAACAGTTTCACATCATCAGCATACATTAAGATCTGGCTGAAATTAACCAGCGATGGGAGATCGTTAATGTATAAACTAAATAATATGGGACCTAAGTGACTTCCTTGACGTACGCCAGACGTAACGGGGAATTCATCCAAGGTAATGGAGTTAAACAAAACCCTGAAGGATCTATTGTGCAGATAAGAGCTTATCCATTTCACTAAGTAGGGTAGGAAACCAGAGGCTTGGAGTTTAAAGATAAGTAGTCTATGGTTAACCATATCAAATGCTTTGCTTAAATCAGTGTAAATAACATCTGTGCGAGAGCCGCTAGAAAAAGCCTTGAAAACATGACAGGTAAACTCTAACAAGTTGGTGACTGTAGATCGCCCTTTCCGTAAGCCGTGCTGGTGCGGAGAAATATACGAATTAATGGCAAAGGCCAAATGCTGAGTCACAATACGCTCGAACAACTTGGGCAAGACACTCAACTTGGCTATGCCTCTGTAGTTCTCAACAAATTGTCTACTTCCACTCTTGTGGATAGGAATAAGGAAACTACTTTTCCAACATGAAGGGAAAACACCTGAATACAAGGATATGTTAAAAATCTTAGAGATCACACCACACAACTCGACAACGCAAGATTTAAGTACACATGATGGAATTCCATCATTTACGATTTCGTCTTCATATAAATGCAATGACAGCTGACACCCCAAAAATGCATTGACAAATAGAAAAATGCGATAAACCTCATCATTGTAGAAAAGTAATCCATCTCATCCCAAATGGTTTTCAAATTATATATTATATATATGTACATATATATATATACAACTTATCAAAATTTTATTCATTCGGATAAGTTCTTAATGATCAACAATTTACCAACGCGTAAGATGAGCAATGCGTACCTACAACGGATACGTTCCATTTTCAATTTCAAGGTTTGGTGCCAAACGTAAAGACCACTAAACGCGACATCTTCCAATTTCATCAAAACTATTCGATACATTGCGTCTTGTGGATGCAATAACTATAACGACAAAAATTGTACTTCAAAATTCATGACCAATGGAATTTGACTAAGATGATTTATTTCCCATCAATATAGAAAAGATATGGTCTTGCAAAGTTAACTCACCACATCAGTTCACCGGTTTGTAAGCACGAGCAGCTCTAATAAAGAAGTCGTCGTTATCTCGACTTAAACTCTATGCAAGACAGTTACCGGCAAAATTTTGGTCCACATTGGAACTAAACAGTATTGAAGCAGCAATTTTCTGATCAGATTCAGAAATAACTTTGCATTGAATGAATTCACATGATTCTGTTCACAGACAAAAATTTAAGAAAATACTCATCGAATTTTTTGACGCCTATACCTTCAAGACATAACCTAGCAAACTTACTCATGCAAGTCTATAGAACTTAATTTATTGAGAGAACTATTGGGTAGAATTTAATTTATGGAGAGAACCATTGGGTAGAACTTAATTTATAAAGAGAACCATTGGGTGGATCTTAATTAATGGAGAGAACTGTAGATAAGTTAAATTCGTCAAATTGGTATAGTGGGTCTGCAACTTTTTTTTTAAACTTAAGCAAATTGGCCCATTGATCCACACATCACTTCGAAGCTTGATGACCAGATGTTAGAAAATAATTTAGATACATTCACCATGTTTCGGCATAATATAAACTCATACTCCAATCAAATTAATCAAGTGACATCAAGTTTATTACAATTGTATAGTACGTACACAGATTCATGCTTGCATACCCCAGAAACCTTTATCAGTCATTTTAAGCGCTTGCGAAATTCCTTTGAGATTTTTATGCATTATCCTATTTTTTCGTCATTCAGTGCTAACAGAAGATATGAAGAAAATTTCAAAATCAATTCTGCTGCCATATAGCCTTGAAATTTTAAACCTCTTCGTATGGAATCATATACAATATTGCTTTTCATTCAAATTAAATCAAGTGGGAGGTCGTTGGCAAAGGCACAGGTATCTTACGATGCAAAATTTCCTCTGTTTTTGCCAAAAATAAATACAATTTTACGAAAATGGTAGTATGCATGCTAAGCATTGCCACATGCATAACTCAAAGCACTTTTGTCACTTCTTCGTTAAATGTTGTCCATCATTGGTGTCCGCAAGCTTCATAGTAAATTTTGCAAAAGACAAAAAGATTCTGGAGGTCAACGTCAAAATAATCGTGATTAGTTTTGACAACGGGCGAATATGCTATGTGTGTGTGTGTGTGTGTGTTCTCAGCTTTAATCAGTCAATATCCAAAATCGCTACAATCGAGTTCGGTGTAAAAGCGTGCCAACTATGCTGCCAACTATGCAATTAACTTTTCTAAAATAGTGAGGACGAACGCTATTTTGGTTTGTGGTTAATAACCTTGCTATAGGTAGGAAAATTTACAAATTTCAAAAACGACTTAACAGTTGCAAACGGTAAATGTATTTGAAGAAAAGCTTGCTTGGACAGAGTTCCCATTTTCCCATTCTTTTCCGCAGATAAAGCCTCTTAATGATTCATTATTCAATATTTTTCTGATAAGTATAAAAAAAAATTAATTTTAAGAGAGCTTTTTCAAATGATTTAAAAAAACCATAAATTTTTTTATTAAAGTGGCTTTCGTGGACTAACATATCTTACGATACTATCTAAAGTTGGGACGTGATTTATCGAACCCATCGAAGTATCCATAGCGACAAAAGCCATTAAAATGATTTAATAATAGAACTAATTTTCGATCTTTAAAAGCTGATTATATCGCAGGTACTGGTCCAAAATTTGCTAGTGATTTTTACTTGTATAAAAAAACCTTTAAACATCTATAAGTATTTTTTTTTTTTTACCTGGTCTAGTCTTCGAGATAGCAATCACATATACCTATTTCTAACAAAAGGACTCACTTTTGATTCCCTATTTTTCTCAAGCTGTCACAGTCGTAAAAATAAAGGTAAGAAGCTCAAATTTTACACAAACATTACCTAACCGACTAGAAATCCAATGTTAAAAATATGGTTACGATAAATGAAAAATTGAAACAACCTTCGAAAAAACACTAATTTTTTCATATTTTTGTCTATTGCTTGCGTTCATGTGTAGATATTTCAGAAAATCTGCTAATTGAATGCTTGCTGCATCCACTTGCATGTTTGATTCAGAATAATCCCGACCGGTATAATAAGTCCACACTTTATTTGTAATCAGATGGGGAATAAGCTAATGTGCGTTAAGGTAAATCGGAAGAAAATTTGAATTAAAATTTTATCGTTAATTTTGAACAGTTTTGAACTCAACATGAAGGGAATCTTAGAGAATATGTGGGTTATATAATATATAATCGAAAGTTATAGACGAAAATATCGAAAAATTGTCGGTGTTTTATTAAGATAGGTTCAGTTTCTTTTGAATAGTGGGCGTGCATGTTAACAAATCACAACCATTTCTTAGCTGTGCATTTCTAATCATCAAAGGATTTTTTATGTCGAATTTCTTGTCTCCATTTTTTTCGATTTTGGCGATTTTATTAAAAAAGCAAAATAAAATTACTTTACCCCCATAAATAGAAATTTTCAAGTTCCAAAAAATTTCATTACATACGTAACGTATGCATACAATAAGTCTCTTAAAATATGACTATAAAATGGCGAAAAACTTGTGTTTCGTCTACGATGGCGGAACAGTGAAAAAGATGTTACGATTTTATGACGTTTTAGCTCTAAGAAGCAATGAAAGGTAGGTAATATGTATTGGGTAAATTTTTATACATTATTTATAAAAAAAATATTCTGCATTCAACGGTGATAAAAATTGTAGTAAGAGTAATGAGGGACTCGTACTACATGGGTTTATATAATACGAAATGAATCTATCGTGTTATAAATTTTTGTTTACAAAATCTAAACTGGAAGCGATAATGGGCAACACTTTCGAGCTTTTAATTTGAGAAGCTTCCCTTTTTTTTAATTCACGGTTGCATTTTAATGCTTGCGAAATGTTAGCAAAAAGCAGCAACCTCTTATCAATTTTTTGTTTGGCATACGAAAAATTAAATTTCAACAAAAATTAATGAATATTTTATCTGAGAGGGCGTTTTGCCATCATATTCTCTATATTTGATGAAAGTTTTTATTAACTTTCATTATCTGCTTGTCGCCAAAGGCAATTTGTAATTATCAACGGCTTTTAATGCCCTCGCCTTCAGTTATAATAATATGTCGTCCGTTAATATATGTTTCTTTTTTTTTTTCTGTTTCATAAAGACCTTTGCGTAGTTACGAATTCATTAACAACGAGCACATTTCATGTGCTTTAGCAATTTTGCATGTGGACCTCTTGCCCAAGGGGGAAAATATGTAACTAAAGGGATAAGTTGTAAATGTAATCGTAAGTAGAACTCACTTTCATTTTAATTTAAAATTACAACAACTATAAAAGCCAAGAATTACAATTGTTTGATATCATTTTAAATGACACACATTTGCGTACGTTGAGAGAAGAAAGAACCACAAGACATGAGTGTGCGTGAAAGTCAACGCTTTTACACTATCAGCAATTTAGTTATAATGTAAATTTATATTAAAGCCTTTCTGAAAAACAACAAAAGAGAGCAACTATATAGGAGAGAGTAAAAGAACAAATAAATATATTTTACATGTGTTCAGTTATTAAAAAATGTCAAGTTAAAGCAAACGTTAAGAAAAACAATAAATGCTTTGACATTTCGATAGCATAATATTAGGCGCCTGCCAGATTCACAAACTATTTCATACTTATGCGTATAAGTATATATGCAGGTGTGCGTGTGTGTGCGTGTGTGTGAATGCTATTGTAGACTTTAGGAGGTTGTGTGAATTGTTTTGACTTTGTGTATGAATGAATTGGCTTTCGTTTACACTACTCACATGATACAGGAAATGCAAGAAATAAACATGGAAAATAACGGAAAACAAAACGATTACATATATAAAGAGAAAAATTAAATGAACAACAACAATAGCAACAACAATAAGAAAACTATTAAACAATATATGTAAAGAAGAAACAAAGAATTTTCTTCTTTCTTTTCTTTTTTGTTTTTGTTTTTTTGTTTTTTTTTTTTTTTTTTTTTGAACATTTAGTATTCATCTGTAGCTGTTACGACAACATTTAATACGGTTTAAAATATTCTTTGATGTAGAAAAACGCATATATATGTTTTCATATTAATGTTCTAACTGAGGCTATGAAAGTGCTTGTGTTCAAGAGCCGTTAACGAAGTTGCTTAAACTGTAAGCTCATCCTTTTTGCATTTCCTTAGTGCTGTAATATTTTGTTATTACTATTATTATTACTTTTTTTTTAATGATTGTTTCATACGAAAAGTTTACTTATGGCACCACTATCTCTCTCTCTCCTTCTCTCGCTTTCTCTCTACTTTGACGTTTGTGCGTGTGTTGAGTTTGTACTCTCCTTCTTGCATTTACAGGTTTCCGTGCCTTTTGGCTGTTCCTATGTTGGATGTTTTTTTTTATTCTCTCTCGCTCTCGCTCTCGCTCTCTCTCTCTCTCTCTCTGTCCGCCATATGTCTCTACGTAACTCTGTCAGCCTTTTTCATCGAAAAATGGCTTGCCACTGATTATCGCATAGCAAAATATTTTCAGTTTTCGTTCAATCGTTCGTAAGTTCGTTTTTAATTCAAGTGTATTTTCATAAGAATTCCTTTTTTTATTATTACATATGTACATGTATATATATATATACATATTTATATATATATATGTATACATATATGTATATGGGAGTTATATACTCTTCTATTCTCTAAATTATCCTACACAATGCTTAGTACGGGGTAAATGTGAATAAGGCTAGACTGGCCGATTGACTGACCTACTGGCTGAACGGCTGGAATAAAGAATTTTCCAATTTCATTTTAATGTGTTAAAAATCAATATAAAGTCAGTAATTTTTGAGGAAATCAATTTTCGGTTGAATGCGATTTCTTGGGAAACAAGAAAACTGTTCACAGTGAGAAAGTGCATGAAAAAAAAGAAGAAAAATCTAATCAAAAAAAAAAGTAAACCTTATGTACATATATAAATTCAATCAGTTGCAGAATTGTGGTAATGCTTGTGAATTCTAAATGAGGAAGAGCACATATTGTTTGTTGCAACAGCAGCAACAGCAGCCTAAGCATCAACTCCAGAAGAAGCTGAAGAAAAAGAAAGCGCACCTGGAGCAGCAGAAAAAAGTTAATATTGCAAGTTTGCAAAGGTGAATCGCTAGTTTAGCCGTGTGTGTGTCTATTTTAAAAGCTTCAATTTTTCGGTGTATATGCGTGTATGCGTTCGTTTCGTATGTACATGCTTTATACGGTACGTGTGCGTATGTTATACTACATCAACTATATGCATGCCAATAATTTACGTCCGTCATTACAGTCGTCTTCGTCTACAATTACTTCTTATAGCGTTTTGTCACTATTGTATATATATTCTTACATATATTTATATATATATGTAAATGAGTGCATCTGCTTGTGTATACGTCGTTTAAGAGAGTGTCAGGTTTTTTTTTATGTATTTATGTATGTATATAAATGTATACGTTTGTACATGTTTGTGTGTCATAAAAGCAAGTGGCAAGTAGTATAACGCCTAAAAGTGTGCCACAAGAAACGAAAATTTCTTCACCATTGAACGGAACCAATTCATCCAGATTAGTGTATTTTTAAAAGGAAAATGGCCTCTTCACTGCTGGATCTGGGCGATTTGATAGCATTTCAACTGGAACGTCTAAAATTGGACGAACTCAATTACAAAGACGAATTGCAACTGCAAAGATACTTGCTCGATTTGGATTTGCTGCAGTGCCCCCAACGTCGTCATAAATCAGTTGCCACTACTCACAGGTTAGCCAATCAGCAACATCAAGCCTTGCAAGTTCCCGAAGCTTCCACTACGGATTTAACTGCCTCGCCAACGGGAACGGAACTAAATCCTGCTTGCAGTGGAGCATTAGCTCGATCCAGTAGTCGTAAAAGTAAAGTCAGTCAAAGTAGTAGCACTGCAGGTGCTCCAAGTGCAGCCAAAATGCTGGGTAATGTGGAAATAGCAATGGAAGAATTGGGGGCCGCAGGCGGCTCTATGACGCTTACGAATAGTTTCACAGACAGTGAAGACGATGCTCTTGGTATAGATCAACAAAAGGAGTTCAGGTACTTACGAATGCTTGCACAAACCTTTTTAGTCTTTCAGTCTCGTCTAAACACAACTTTACCCTCACCTCTTTTCACTTATTCTTATTTAAAGTTCATTAAATTTGCATAATTTTTTATTTTTTTTTTTCTTTCTTTTATATCAATTATCCACACATTCGTTGTAGTAGAGGCAAAAAAACGCATTTACATTCTTTACCATTGCTAGGGAAATTGTCTTTTTTATATTCTCTTCCTGCTTTTGTTCTCACTCTCTCGGTGTCTCTCTTCGCATTAAGCAAAATAAGGTCACGTGTGTGTTGAATATTTTTTTTTTTTTTCTTATTTCTTCTTCTTAGTTAACATGCCTTGGCGTGTTTTGAATTTTTTATTAATATTTGCGTTTCTAATTAGAATCTAAATGTGAAAGGAGTAGAATGGAAAGGTCCCCACTTCCGTGAACTGCGACTAAATATTTATTTTTCGGCGCCATTATATTTCCATTAGGCATTGGATTCAAAATGAGGATTTCGAAACAGGCGTATATGACGACCTCAATTAGGCGAAAAAATATATCTTTCCAAAAATTATTATTATTATTATTATTTTAATTTTAGACTAATGAAATGAATTCTTAGACTAAAAAAAGACATTGAGCACTAGCAACACAGGCTATCGGATCATTAATTTCATTAAATTCAATAACTTGTTATTAAAATTTCATTTAGTAAACCGAATGGTGAAGCTACGTAGAGAATGGATAAAGGATAATGAAAGGATATAATGGTTATGTCGTCTAAAATAAAATTTCAAAAAATTGATTAAGTTAATCCTTCTATTCTCGATGAGGCATTATATTCAATTTATTTGCGAAATCCGCTCAATATATCGTATATATCGCTTAATATATTCTCTCCCATATCAAAAATGATAACAATTTAAGTTCGAATGTTACGCTCATGCACATTCCTTTATCGTGTAGATCCTTAGTACTTGAATGGTTTCAACAACTGCGCTCAAGAACAGAAGATTTCAAATCAGATGAAGAATCGAGACGAATGAGAGAAGCCGGCAATGATTCCTATCGCAAAGAACGCCACGCTCTCAAAGCGTGCGACCTCTATACGGAAGCAATATTTTTGGCGCCATCCCAAGATAGTATAGCAGCCGCTATGGCGCACGCAAACAGATCGACAGTATTGCATGACTGCGGCATGTACGAGGTATGTAAGTAACTCATTCCTTAAATGACCACGGCAACGTTTGACATGCACATAACATACAGTGTGCTGATGTATATAATTATTATACCCGATAAAGCTTCTTTTTTTTTTTTTTTTTTTTTGATTTAATTAATTGAGGGAGTTTTTGAATTATTGTTGTTATCCTTTCAACTAATAATTCATGTCAGTGATTAATGCTGCACGTTTTTACAGCAATCCTATGACGACTGTTTATGCGCTTTAGATCTAGGTTATCCCGAAGAGTATCACCCATTGATTAAATTGCGTCAAGCCTCTTGTGCCTTAAAACTGCGTAATTTTGCTTTGTGTGAACAGCATTTACATGAGCTGCTCCACATGGAACTCTCCGAAACATTCGAGGCTCGCACACACGAGCTATGGCACGAATGTGAAGTACTTAAGGCTGAAAAAATCGAAATGGGAGTTCAGACAGACAACGATTTAATAAGCAATGATATCAAAATCTATGAGGTGTAAGTACAATACTTCTCAGATCATTTCTACTTTATATTTACAAAAAAAAAAAAAAAAAAAAAAAAAAAAAAAAAAAAACTATTCTTTTGCAGAGCTTGGTTGGACAACTCGAATGTAATGACAACAACAAAAAGTGCTTTTCTGAGAGCTACCACTAATATACCAAATAACACGCCTATATTCCACGAAGAAGCCGCCGTCTTTGTACCGAGTGGAGCGGCGCGCTTATGCGATCACTGTGGCATTACGCAATTCGTACCGTTCCCATGCATTTTTTGCTCCAATCGTACAGCCGTCTATTGCTCGCGCAAGTGCCGAGCCGCACACGCTTCCATACATGCTCTCGAATGCTATGCCCATCAAATCGAACTATTTGAAGAATTCGGCGTCGAATTCTCAAAACCGCGTCTATTGCAACTCGCCTTCCGCATGCTTATAAACGGTCTGCCACAGGTAGTGCCGCATTGTCGCAAAAAACCCACAGTCGGTAAAATGTGGAATGCATTCAATAGCATTTTAACTGAACGCACTTGTACCTCGTCATCCGCCTCACTAGCTGCCTCCGCGACATCCTATTCTGCCCTGTTACGGCTTGAATCTCATTTGGACAAAGAGGAAAAACGGAGTATGGTGTCATTTGCAATTGTTGCGCACATACTCGCTATCTATTTGGGCGAGTACACCGACTTTTTTGAGCTACTCGAGCTGACTATGCCCGCCGCAGCAAAGCTTACGCGTCAGGAATGGGAATTGCTAGCGTCAGCTTTGCTGTTGCGTCATATATGTCAGTTGCGGCACAAAAACCTCATACACTGCCCTTCTTTTGTGCTGCCCGCCGATCCACATGTATTATCACCCAACGACGAATTCATGCTCTGGGAAACGGTACGTCATGTACGTCGCGGCTATCTGCATCTAATAGCTGGCGATGTAACTACTGTCGCTTATGCCGTATTTCCCCAAACATTAAGCCATTGTCGGCATTCTTGCGCCGATATGATTTATCGCAAAATCAATGGCTGTAAATTAACCGCATACTCAACAACCGATATACAAACCGACACCTGCATATGCAATTGTTTCATTAGCGGGAACTATAAGCAATCATTATACGAAAGGCGCAAACAGGAATTAACAATACGCGGCATCGATTGCAAATGTGAGAAATGCTTTCGTCCATATCCCGATGAGGATTTTGTAAGTATTTAATATTTCATCGTTTTTAAGAGTTTTTCTTTCGAGTTCCTTGTGTGTTCGTAGAGTTTATGCTCGCTCTGTGTGTATAGAGGAAATTTTATATATAAACAAAAAACAAAAATTACTTCTCGTTATTTTTGTTTTTTTTTTTTTTTTTTTTCCTTGAAAAACACTGGATGTTGTAAATCACACCTTGTTGTTGTTGTAAATTAGATGGACATTTCTTATGAGCGTTTGTATCGATAGTTGTTGGCCGGAACACTAAGAGAAAGCAACAATTAAACAATTCCCAATATGATCGCATACTGAGCTCTTTCTATTTTATCTTTAGTAACTTAATTCTCCGTTCTTGCTCTCTTTCTCTCTCTCTCTCTCTCTCTCTCTCTCTCTCTCCATCTTTCTCTCAACATTTCTGTGTATGCTTTTACTTGCTATGCTGGTTTTCTCGGTGTTGTCCTTTCTTGATTGCTGTTATTGTTTATATGTTCAATTGTGTCAATATAAGAGAATGAATGAACAGTGCCTGAAAAAACTAGTAGAAAATATTTGTTTGTATTTATGTAAATTTTTAAGTAATTATTTCACTATAATCACTAAGTTATTTTTTCGGTGGCGCTTTTTGCTTTAATTTCTTTTTCCAGCAAAAAAAAAAAAAAAAAAATTCGATCAATTCATGTTTTTCTTTTCGGCCAAGAAGCATGACTTCAAACATTCTTTGTTTTTCACAATTTATTTTTCTTTTCCATTTAATTTAATTTTTTTTTTCTTTTTTTCTCTTTTCTTTTTCCATTGTACATTTTTATTGTAATTAGTTGCAATATTTTCGTTTTTATTTCATTAAAATTTCAGTTTTTTCTTTTGCGAATTGAGTAAAAACAAAAAGAAAAAAAAAAAAAAAAAACACAAAAATTGAAACGAATTTGTTTACCAACCATAACCTCAAAAAAACAAACCAAAAAAAATTTCAGCATAAATTTCATCGCTATCGCTGTGATAATCCGAATTGTAAACAAATATTTACGCCCTCGAATTTAAAACGTTCGCGTAATTTACGATGGTGGAAATCGGATTATTATCGACGTCCCGAAAATAATGGATCTGAGTTGCTGATCTGTGACGTTTGCGAACATACACAAAAATTTGAATGGTTTTGGACATTTTCTGCTGCGCTAACAGATTGCGATTCGATTGAAGAACGTTGCAAGCTATATGCGGCCATTGAACGAGCTGATACGCAACTCATTGATACGCACGAATGCAAAGTGGCCTTAGCGCGGCAATTAGTCGAACAATGCCTATTAATACATAGAGGTACGTTTGTTATATTATAAGGAGAGACTCGTTATAGTCTCTGTTACTCTTTTCTTCTCTCTCTCTCTCTCTCTTTCTCTCTTTATCTCCTTTTCTTTCTTTCTCATACACTAATACACACAAAAACATTATTTGTAAATATGTATAAGTTTTTTTGTATATTTGAGTTTTTTGATTTTTTCTTCGTTTTTTTTTTTTAAATTTTTGATTGAAATGTAGTTGAAATTTGCTAGATTTAAATTTTTTGTTTAGAATTGAATAAAATAACACAATAAAGAGCAAAAACAACTTTAGAAAGGTTTTATAGCAAATTAGCCGCTAGATAATATCCATAAATAGTAATTTAACGAATTTCCCGCAGCTACAAATTTAGTGAATCCCGAAGTAATTTTTTCATAGACATATTATTTTTTTGCAAATATTGTGAATACATATGTATAAATAAATTAGTTGTTTACTCTTGTTACTCGCTAGTTTTAAATTTATTAAACAAGTTTTGAAATCTCTAAAAAAAAAAGAAAAACTACTCGTTATTAAAATTACGCAACTAATATGAAAACACGTACTACGAGTTGAAATATATATAATTCGCTCCTTTCTCCTGCATTGCTCCGATATTAGTACATCATTCTTGATTTTCAATCGTCACAGTTATGCAAGATTAACAAATCGGGTAAATTGATCGATTTTTAAAATTTTATTTATTCAACATTTAGTCTGCAAAACTGATTAAACAATGGCAATTAATTTAATAGCCTAACGAACTATCGCTGAAGATCGCGCAGACTGTCCTACACTTATCTAGTGAAAGTATTTCCTATTGAATTGCAGACGTGATAGATACCCAGTTGTAGAGAAATTATCTGAATGTCAATTAGCCTTAAGGGAAAGTAGACAAACAGCGCTTTCTTTAATTTCTCAAGGAAGCGCAAAATTGGTATATAAAAGTCTCAGATAACCCCTCGAAGAGAAATTACTAATAAACAAAAAAGTATATTCGCCTTGCAATAGATTTTCTATACCCACAATCTTACATCAACTTGTGAAAATTACAAAGAACTTTGCAGGTTGCAGGTCTCGAAATCATTTGATACAAAAAATGGTTTTCCTTGTTTAAACTTACACTTTGTCAATTGTGCCTTCAACATGTCAAAATTCATTATCCCATCTTTTTTTCAGAAGACGTCAGCTCTAATCTCTTTAAATATCATTATAATATGTTCAGCTTCAGACAGATGATTGGCCAAGAAGCCGCCATTTTGCAACTGTGATGACTAACAGTAGGCTCAAGTCCCATCGCCAGTTAACACCGTTTCCACGCACGTGTCATTTAATGCACGTTAATTTTGGATGTCCTACTTGGCCGAATTTTTTTTTTCTGATTCTTTAGATAGCGCTAGTAAATATTACCAAATAAATCGTAACAAAATCATAATTATAAATCTTATCAAAAACACATTGACCTTCAGGTTGGTGGCCTCGAAATGATTTGTCTCGTATATCTCGTTAATACTTTATTAGTGCTTACGCCGAATACACAAACACTCGAGGACGTAGTTTCGAATGTTAAGAGAGCAGAGCGCCATATCTAGTAAACACTCAAGCGCGTGGTTTCGAATGTTACGAACCCAGTGATATATCTACTATATCAAGTTACTGTACTGTTTAATACTGAACAACAATGATACATTTCAACGAGTTAGTATCTATTTTATAACAAAAACTGAATATGAAATGGTTAAAAATGATCTGCCTTCATCAAACCATCCTTACTCAACTACACCCATTTTAGACTTACTTTTCAGTCAGGAATTATCTCATTAAAGCATATAGATAAGAAGAAATGTAACAAGAGTTGAAGAGTTGTCTTTTTGTGCCCAAAAACGAGGAAGTCGGATAAGTATTCAAAAAGTTAGTTTAGAATAAGTTTTCAATGTTTATCCAGCCAAAAATTCCTCCAAACATCTTAAAGGAACGGTGCAAATAGTTTTGCTGATCACTAAAAGTGTAACTCATTCAGACTCTAACCAATTATTCAATAAAAAAAAAAAACAAATTTAAGAACTACACTGCACAAAGTCTATACATAACTTGCATACATAGAACACAGTAATCCGAGCAAAGCAGTAAAAAGTAGAGCGTCATTATCACCCATAATACTCGTAGTAAAGTCCTAGCTAAAACTTCAAAGTTCGCTTACAGACTCTGATATTTTTTTTTTTTTTTTTTATGGTTGACAATAAATAATAATATAATAACGAGTACTATTTAGAGAATTTTATCCCCTTTATGCTTCGTGAATAAAAATTTCGAAGAAACACTTTGATATGAATATTTTTTTTTTATGTTTGTTCATTTCTTAAACATTGTTTAATAACATTTAACCAACAGCTAAATACTTGCAAATAACCTAAAAGAGAACTTTTCTTATTCTAAAACAAGTTTACTTTACTTCTTCTCTTTTTTATCTTAAACGTTTTATGCGGCGATCTCTTGTAGAAGGCTCGAAATCTCTAGACGAATGGGAACTTAACAAATTGGGCTCGATAATGCGAAGTGCTTTGCATATCGTAGCCGCTCAATTTCGTATCTTTAGTATTGAATATGTACAACATATGTCATATTTCTGGGATGTTATGGCTCTTAGCAATTATAAATGCGGCGACAAGGAACTTATGCAAATGTTGCACGCCCTCGAATATATACCGGATGAATATAAGGAGATTTTCATCAATTATTATGAGGATTTTATTGCACCGAAATTTATGGAAGAAACTTATGGCAATATCTTGGATACGGAAGTATAATAAATAAATAAAATGAAATGAAAGATACCTCGCTTTCATTCCTTTACTTTCTTTCTCTCTCTCTCTCTCTCTTTACCTATCTCCATCTCCATCTCAATCTCTCATCTTTCGCTCTTATACTTAGTCCCCATTAAGCAATGAGAAAGACAGGAAAAAGTTAAAACTCTAAACTATTAATCTCAACGTAAGAAAAACCAAAAAAAAAAGAAGAAAAGTAATATTTGACAAATACTCGAAAGTAAAAAAAAACCAAAAATAAAATCGAAACGCCTTTGAAAAGAAAACGAAAGAGAAATTATTTGAAAAACAGTTAGAAGAAATGCGTGAAACATAATACAAACGAACGAAGGGGATATGAAAAAAAGGAAGAAATAGAGCTGAGTAAACATTAACACAAACACACACAAATGCATAAAGTGAAAAAAAAAAAAAATTGAAAAAAAAGCGCGCGTTGTTAAATATTTAAATGTAGAGTTGATAATAATAAATTATAGGAAATTATTTAAAAAAATATATATACACAATTATAAATGAGAAACAATACAAAACCGGTTACTTAAGCGCGCATAAAAAGCTGTATAAGAAAATTGGCAAATCAAAAATTTTTAGATAAATGAAAGGCAATCGAAAAAATTTTACAAAATTTAAAAGCATAAATTTTTTTTATTTTAACGCTAACAAAATAAACGGTTACTTTTTAATTAATGAACTGAAGAAATATTTAAGTAAAAATGAATAAATTTTATTAATGAAATTAATTTATAATAATTTGATTATTTTAGAGAAATTCCGTTTAAATTTAGTTAAAAATGCGTTAAAAAAGAAAAAAAAAATAAACAAAAATTCTTAAAACTAGAAGAATACTAACATTGTATCTATGCATAAATATCCAGCGAAATTTAATCTCTATTGTAGTTCAAAATATATAAGTCAATGTTATCTTAAGGGTTAACAGTTTAAAGATGGGTTTCATCTAAGAATTTCCGCCAATGCGTAAGATCTTTGCCCATATTTCCTTCGAAATTTGATTTCATTTAAACACTAACGGATCTGAACGAATGTAAGAAAAAAAATATTCACATATGACATTTAAAAGAGTTTCCTTCAGCTCTATGCATAGATACAATAATTGAGAAGAAGAAGAGAAAAATTATGTTCGGCTTATATCGAACTTTTAGTGCTTATCAACTATTTTTGATATATCAAATATATTAAGAAATTTCATAAATTACTTATTAGAATTATGTTATGTATTTTCATAAGTGGAAGACCGTGTCTCAAGCTGAACCGTGTTCACATGTATGCAATTGAACCATTGCCATTGCTTAAGATAATTACAAAATTTCTTGTTAAATGCTCTTTATATCTTTCAAAGGCATCATTTTTATGCTCATTATATGCTAGCTAATAAGCATTTTGAAACAAAACGGGTACAGTTCCGTCAGTCTAAATTTATTTATAAGATCTTATATATGCCAGTTTATTTAATTATTTATCTGAACAAAGTCTATTTCATTTTTCTCATTGATATGCAGATTCTCAACTTGAATGCCTATTATTAAGTGATTCGGAAAGAAATTTCGCTTTGTTTCCTTTTTTTTTTTTTTGCGAAAGTACTGTGTCTAACTGTTTCAATAGATTTAAACTCTCAGTGATCGCATGACGGTCGCTTCGATTAAAGCCTTTATTTTGTCTTTACCAGCTCCTAATATCCTTCCAGAAAGTGTTGCAAAATCGGCGCAATGAAATTTTTGCAAAACAATTTTGGCCATTCATCCTCTCCAGAGGCATCCAATGACCTTCCGCTAGTAATAAAAGTAGAGTACGTCGAAAATCCTGCTTTCGACTTTGCATAGTTGGTAAAGCACTAACTAAAGCTCCTACAAGCAGTAACGACATCAGCTGTCATTTATATGAAGACAGACCATCTTAACTATGAAAAAATTCAATTACACCCGCTATTTGGAGAAAGAAATGAAACTGAATGACTTTCCGAACACCGTAATATTTCATTTATCTGCATTTGATTTCGGTCATCATCAGATTTAGAAGAGATTAATACACAAATCTGATTATATATGTGTATCAAATTTTAGTCGAATATTTTAGGCGAAAAAGTCAAGCGTTTCCAATCTATATTAAGTTAGTGAAAAATTATTTTGGCCTTATGCCGAATCTCTATTATCCACTAATAGTGTAAAAAAGTTAGCACATAGTTTTTTGGTTAGATAGACGTGAGGATTAGCCGATTGAAAAACTTTCCCCCATTGAATCTTTAGGTGGTTTCTTTAACTATCTAATTAAATTAATTTTTATTGTTTTTATTATAGGGGATGAGTAAAATGTTCCCCGTGTCTTTTAAAGGATAACCTCGCGCAATTTTCTACAAAGTTTTCTAAATACGGCTTCGTTGAGCGCTTATAATAAACTTAATATGAATATCGCTTATATCTAGATTGTGAGTAAAGGGTTCTCTGGGTCTTTAAAGGATTGAAGCGGCCATTTTTGGCCTAATCACTTGGATATTCAACACAAAGTCTTAAATCAATATTTGCCAAATGTTGTAGTTTAGGCTTTTTTGCGTGTTTCATCAGCGGATCGCATTCATTCGCGAATCTACGACAATCAACTAAGAGTGCGAACGGAAAAGTTCAAGAAAAATTTTGTGACAAGTTTTGTGGCTTTGAAGCGAACATGAATAAAGAAGCTTAGAATATGTTTAGATTATTAGCTTTTTGACAGCTATTGCTGAATGCGAGTAAATATAAAACAAATAATGACAAGTGTATATACGTAACATATTTGTCTTGATACTGTAGCTGCGTCATTGCGAACACTTTTGCTGTGTTAACTTAACTTAGCTTTGGATTTGCTATTCTTTAGTCTTTCGACCTTTGTGCCATGCATTTGACTCAATTCTTTCGATTTCATAAAATGAGCTAAGTTAAAATTTCACACTAATCCTGATTTGAAAACGTTTAGACGTTACAAAGGAAATTAGTGATTAAGCAAAAATATTGAATCTAAGATATCCACAACCTTTTCCTATCTGAAAGAGAACAGAAATTTTTATTCGCCTCAAAATGACTTTTTAATACTGATCACCACACCAAATCAATATTCAGCATTTGACTGAACGAAGAAGTAAACAAATAAGTAAAGTTGTAGTCCGCTCAATAGGATTTAGTCCCTTTTTGACATTCATTGGATGTCCATTGCTTAAACAAACATATCCATTGCTTAAGTGAATTGATAAAGACTCCAAAGTATTATGTATTGCTAGCTGAAAGATTGACTAATTCAAAATTCTGATACGGTTTGAAATTTTCAAAGAGTTCGTGATTAAAACTAAAAATATTAAAATTTGGATTATATTTTTATGTTCCTACTTCAAGAGTGCACTTCAACTCTCCAAGTGACCTAGATCTAGCAAATGCACGCTTAGAAATATGAAAGAAAAAAAGTAGCTTCCAATTTAAAATCCGAAAAATCATGCCGATCGGCTATAGCTAATACATAATCATAATAGATGAAATACTTTAAAAGTCAACTTGATGTAGTGGGCACTTAAGATCAACTCAAAGGCGAGAATTTTGTTAATGCTATTAGCTAGTGTTGTTGAAGATAAAAGGAATTTTGCCAAAAAGCTATAGAAAAAAAAGAAAATTAAAAAATTTATTTCGTCCTTAATTAAGAAAATAAGTTAAACCGGATTTCTTTCACATGAATTAAAATTTTCGTTAATTACGCGCTGTTTCTATGCAATTTATCACTTTAGAATCACTTTCTGAATCGATCAAAATTTATCTGTCCATCTGTCCCGTCGTATTTTTTTAGGTGTTTTAATGAAAGTTAGCATACACTTGTTGACATATTTTGGACGAATTTTGTCGTTATTGAAAGCAATTCAGATCGGACCACTTTTTCAATTACTCCCTATGTGGCGCCTTATTTTGAAAACCCGTTATATGAACAAATATTGCAATTTTTTTAAAATTTCGTGACAAAAATCCCTGAACTATTGCATTTTGACATGCAAAATAGACGTGAAAAACTTATATCGAACAATCCAATTTTTCGAACCCCCTCTGATATATGTTCTTACGAAAACTGAATCTTAATATGGCAAAAAGGTCTAATTTTCAGTATTTCATAATGAAAGTTATTCAATAATAATAATTTGACAAAGAAAATAAACTTACCGAATTCGGACCATATTGGTCTATTTTTTGGGCGCCAGACCATATAAGGGTTTCAAAGAAAAATAAGCCTTTATATGGCAATAATGTCAAGCTTTCAATATTTTATAATGAAAATTTGTCAATAATATTTGGGCAAACTTTAGACCGTATGCATCTATTTTTTGGGCATCATTTCCTGTAAGGATTATGAATAGTAAGCCCTTTAGCAAAATGACTTAATGTTTAAAATTACATGATGAAAATGCCTTCATGATAGTAACATGGATTAAAAATTAACCGTAGAGAATTTAAATCCCAAAGGACTAATTTTTAGACCCCACCACTTCTATGAAAAGCAAACCTTAGATATGGCGATAAGGTTTAATTTCTATGATTTGAAGACGGAAACAACCGAAAAAATAATAAAATCTTTGACAAGAATATGAAGTTTGCTAAATTTGAACCAAGCTTCAGTCAACGTCCTGAACCCTCTTTAATGGGAAGGCTTCCTGAAAAGTATACGCTGACATACATATTTGGAATGTTATCATGAAAATGACTGAACGACTTTAAATGATGTAGGGTATGCAATAGTCGGCCTTGCCCGACTATAGGTCCATTTTTTTTTTGTTTTTAAACACGGCTCTACCCTTAACAAAGTGAAAAAAAGTAATGTTTCGTTTAATTTTGTTTTATTCGATTTAATCAAGCTGTAACGATATTTTTGCTTCAATAAATAATGAAATTGAAATAAATCAAACAAAAAATTTAAAATGAAATTAAATAAATTAACAAATGAAATTACCGGCATATTTGTAATGCTTAAATGTTGATATTTAAAATTAACCTGTATGATAAATGTCTCATCAAATATCGCCCAAACAAACACAAAAAAAGAAGAACCGGTTACTTTAGATAATGCTGTTAAATAGCTAAAAAAGAAACTAAAATTATAAATAATAATTGAGAAAAGAAAAAGAACGAAACGAACGAAACAAAAAATTAAATTAAAAAAAAAAAAAATTAATAATAA